ATGGTGCACCTCTTCAAAGTGTTTCCATCCAACTGCTCTGGTTTGGCATCGGCCAGCATATTCCATGAGCTGATTTTGGTCAAGCACTGGCTGTTATTTGACAGTAGTACTAATGAGGAGCAAGCAGAAACGAGAGCCATTGACATATTGTTGGAACTCTTGTCTTAAATATTTTCACCAACTCTCATAGTGGCTGAACTCAGTACTGAGAAAGGCTCTTAAACTAAGGGGAGAGGAAGTACGGATGTCTTTCTTGATGTGCTTGGTTATCTTTTACCTTTGTGTCGGCTAAGGCATTGTATCTGAGAGTAAATCTCTTCTCCTGGGCTCTTCTTGCCCTGCAGCTTCCTGGGCATGAAAGCACTGGCAGACGTGTATTAATTTACAGGTAGGGAGGATAAAGATCTAGGACAACTTTCATTGGGGAAAAGAAAGAAAAAGAGGGATTATATACAGGTGTGATATTTTAAATGAATACCTTGTTTTCTTTTCTGTTTTATGTGGGCGTGTGGTGCGTTAGAAATATAACCAACTCTGGAATAGATATAAAATCTTATGCTGCAGGGTGTAATTCAACCCTTAGCTAATGATGGCAGAAGTGAACTTCATTGTGGTCAAATTGTTTATTTACTCTTCAGAGTATGTAAACTTGGTCCAAACAGCTGTTCCAAACACTTTAGGAGACAGTTTTCTGTACCAAGTGCGCTGCTTCTCTGATCTTTGGTGCAATTCTGATATTTCTTATGAGTGTGTCAGCTAATTTGTCTGGATAAAATACATAATATCTCTTTATTAAAGAACTGATTTGCACTGTATTCTGTGTTCCACAGCAGTCCCTCTTAATGTGATATATTACCATGCTACTTATTTCTCCTTTCATCGTACAAAGGCTTGCTGTTACCTCACTTGTTTCTTAGTGTAATTTACCAGTGTTGGAATACTGACTTATGAGTACTGACTTAAAACAAACATTTACTCATAAGAACTTATTTCCACATCAACGATAGTTTTCTGCTCTGTAGCATTTTTCCTCGGTCCCTCGTTATGATCATCTGTGCCACATTTCAAAGAGCAGCATATCCCATATTTGGTTTCTATTAAGGTGAAAGCTCCGTGCCCTGTGCTATGATTTATGACCTCAGCATTTATGCAGTCTCTGTGCCCTAACTAGGTCGGCTGGTGTATTTGAAATGTATTTTAGAATGAAGCTGGGGATGGAAGGAAACTCTACTGCCTTATGATAAAAAGCCTTGTCAACACACATGGAATTGAACAAACACGAGTTGTAATCTGTATTTTCTGTGTTAGCTTCATTCAAAAAAGTCCGCTCTACCATGCAGTGTATCCCAGGGACTGGACTTTTAATATTCTTGACAACTGCCCTAAGGGGAATAATGTCCCTTAGAAAAAGTCACAGTAAAATCTGGCAGTAGATTAAGTTAGTTTCCACTTAGGTGTGACAGCAGAGTCATTACTGATTTTAGACTTAGCCAGTTTGAGAGTCGGCTTCACCACCATCAACTAAAGACTATGATGTATAGTTCCAGATGCTCTGGCCAATTGACCGTAAAATTGCTCTGCATTTCTGGCAGAGCAGCCAAGCTGGAGCTTTTAAAATCTCCACTCACCGAGCTCAACACCCTCCCCCCCCCTGCTTAAAAGCTGCTCATTATTCTTCTTCTGCCCGCTGATCTTAGCAAAAGAAAAACTTCTGGAATCAATTAGAAGTGTCTGCACTTGATGAGATTTGCACGTGAGTTCGGAATTGCGAGGCTTTGATAGTGTCAGCCAACAGCTGCAGTTTCAGGTGGTAAAATGGGGGAAGGAATTTTCCAGGGTTTATTTACAATCATAAAATAAAACAAAAATCAAGACAAGTTGGAAACCATCTAATGTGTCATTAAAATGAAGCTTGAATTGGGTTATATATTTATTTTGTCTGAAAAAAAGTAAACTGGTGGTTTATTATCAGGATCTTTTCAATTACCTTGCAATTATTAGGCTGTATAGAGTGGTTGCAATAAAATGCAAGCTACGGTCTGCTTGCTGTAGTTTTAACTATGAAAGAGGCATCTGCTATTACTTTTGTCACTTTAATTGCTTGACAAGACAAGGAGGTAGTCATCCTTAATAGAAATCAGAAGCATGCAGTCAAAGATGAAGCAAAGGTGGTGCTCTGAAGATATAAAATACATATTCACATATACTGTCTGAAATTTTGCGTTTTGTTCTGTCAACACTCACATTGATAGTTGTAAAGTTTATTTTCTGACCCTTCTTAGCCCAAAGCAGTTAGTGATTGTCTTGTATCTGCATGCAGTGTTTGCATTTTAAAGATAACAACCGTGCCAAATGAAATTATTGATGTTCAGTTATACATCTGAGGCTGTCTTTGTAAAAGTGAAACTGTGCCATTCCACACACGTTGTTACTAATTTGCATTGCAGACTGGTTTGGTTCATAAGTCAAAGCGTAATTTTTCTAAAAGCCATTAATGCTGCAAACCCCATCAAACTGCATTCTTTTCTACATCATAATAACACATGGATAATAATAGAAATCTCCATACCAGTGAATTGCTCCACTGATATTAATCCCTGGTGACAACTGAGGTACTCCACATGGGTAGATGTTTCTGTCTGTGTAACTGCAGTTCCAGTACTAGAGAATTAACTAACTTTTTTTTTTTTTTTTGTTAATGAACAAATGCATATATTTGTTTCGTACCTGGTTTTCTTCTGCAGAGGTAGTACTGTTAGAAAAATCTGTAGAGTGATTTTTAATTATTTTTTTTTCTCCCTTTGAAAAAAATGTACTTCCAGCGAAGGAGCACTCAGAGAATGCCTCGTTCGCACTATTAGTCATCTGTGTATCTGTGTAAGCACAGCGGCACCTCTGCATCCCAACACAAGCAGTGCTGGCTCTGACCCCACACCATTTGGATTCTGTAGGGGAGATGCAAAGGCAAACTCATATTTCCTATGCTTGATAGAGCCAGTCCTTCCTGATCAGTTTACACTCATACATTTTGCATTCAAAGTTGATTTAAAGCACAGCGTAGCGTAAACCACATTGCAGTCTCTAAGAGTCAAAGGCAAGGGTAAGATAAGTGATTGTTGCATCCTGAATGAAAGACACTGGCTTACTTGCTGAGATTTCCCATCTACACACAGGGTGTGGGGAGAAGCAGAAGATAGCTTTTGCATCCGTCAGACTGTGTCCCCCCACCATGCTAAGCACCCCAGAGCGGGGACCCTTCCTTCCCGCCATGCGTGGCCAGTGTGCGGGTGTGCTTGGTGGTCTGGCTGTCTTTAGCCTACCAAGCTCACCCACGTGTGTGTCTTTTTTAGGACAATCTGATATGCAAAATCAGTAAAATTTTGTCCAAAATCAGGTAGTCTGCCACCAAAACTATTGCACCTGCCAGGTGGGAACTGTCCTAACCTTAAAAAGAGGAGAGCTGTGCCTGTGTTCCCAAGGCCATGAAGGCAGATGGCTTAGTTTGAATTTTAACCTCAACGTGACAGGCAGGGGGATTGAATTAGCTTTTAGGAGATGACAGCTTTAATTAAGCCAGCTATTTCTGATGTGGAATAAATCTGGGTTTGGCAGATACGAGGTGACCACAAAGAACCAGCCTAGTGTTTGAAATATTTTGGATATTTTTGTCTCACAAAATTTAAATAGAGAAAACCCAAATGTAAGAGAGACATGCAGTCCAGGGTTGCCCAATTTATACGTCTTGCAAGGGAGATGGAGGTACAAGATTCTTCTTCCTATAAACGTCCATTCCCACTTCTGTAACAGTGAACAGAACATGGCAGCTACGGAAACTCAGCATTTCTGGAAGAGAATGGCTGTGTAGGACCCACAGAACTGGGCAGTAACACAGACCATTGGAAGGCCAAATCAATACCTGTATTTAGGAAAGCAGAAATTAACTCAAAATATTCTGTAATATGTTTTATTAGAATTGATGATTAAAGATAATAATCTTTTGCACAGTCTATTTTTTTTATAGGCTTCTTATGAACAACAAAGAAGGAAAAGCACACTAAAAGTTGAGTCTCTGTTTTTCTACTAGCCACACCTGAAATAACCACAGAGACTGAAACTAGTTCATGACATCTGGGCAATTGCATGCTAAACTCTAAACAGCCAGTGCCTCTTGTCTAAAGTGGGCAATAGATCAATAAGATAAAATCAAACCATTATCTGTGCTGTGATTTATTTTTCTTATTACTGCCTTGTTATATCATTCCTTTGTATGAGTTCTGTTTTCTATGATGTTTAGAGTCAGGGAATATAGAGAAAGCAACAATGCTATATTTATTTTTATATTTTGGTATTACGCAAAGCAAAGAGAATGTTTTAAAATTTCCTTCTCCTGCCAATGCCAAATAAAAATTGCCTGATGAAAGAAGATTAG